CTTACCGATCTCACTGTACCAGTTTTTACAGTTTTATGTACATTTTAATCAATTCCAATGCACATGAATTCGTTTTGTTGTTTTTAATTAAATTTATTTTATTTACTTACACCAGTAAATGAAAACAAATGTTTTGTCTACAAATTCCTCGATCCAGATAAATGTAGTACTAATTTTAGTAAAGATGGTAATTTGATCCAATGTCGACAAATGTTGGACACCTATGATTAAATCATAAAGTATGAAAAAGGGTATTTATTATTCTCCGAAAACAAGGACACCAGTAGAGTGAATTAAAAATACTGTGTACATTATTTTATGAACCAAACTTAATTGGAAAGAAAATAAGCTAAATTCAAGATTCTAGATAGGTGAAATGAATAATGTTTTCTAGATGGCAAGTTAAAAAATCTACGATAACAATGAACACAGCAATAAAATACTAGAATTTTCCGTATCTTTCCACTTTTTTACCTTCTAGCAATGATTTATCTTTCGTGTCAAAGAAATCAAACAAGCTAGCACTAAATTACATAAAAGACGATCACCGGTCCCGAGTCAAGCTGAACTCTATTTTTCTTGGCCCTACTGTGAACAGACACAATCTTCGATAATATATATATATATATGTATATATATGTATGTATATATATGTATGTGTACATCGTGAATCTATTATTATTATTAAGGTTTGTATATAAAATCCTCGTTCTTAGATTCCAAATACAAAGGAGAATATAAAGCTTTTATCCGATCTTAACCAAAAGTAGAACTGATGTAATCAACCAGTCAACGATGTATTAGATTAAACACAGCATTATTGATTGATTGATTTTTTTTGCATAAGGAAATAGAAGAACAAAATAAAGAAGAAAAGAAATGTTCTTTTCCCCTTAATATGATAAAATCATTTCATAATTTATGCGCATTAATTATGCACAGTTCCAAGCTCTTATACGGAATAGTACTACATAAAAAATGCGATTGAACTAATACTCGGACATTATCATCTTGAAGCTCGCTATTAAGAATTAATCATGCAATTATTGTAACGCAAATTAAAAACATTTCTTTCCGATCATTTTTCGAATTTTATTATTAAGGACTCACGAATATTTGAATTTTTTGTAAAACATTATACGTATATGGATTTGTGCATTTAATCAAATACTTGAATGTGCGTATTTGACTGTCAAAATAAAAAATCAAAATCTTTTATTGGTAGTGATTAAATTTTGTAACTCACTCCCGATGTAATTTTTAAGAATCATTAATAAACTTCAATTCGAGTTATAATATTCTCTCGATATAAACTAATTTTGATTTTCTGTTGTGTTCAAGCGTGCCCTTAATATTTGATTGATTGTTTTCTATCGCTATTGGGAAAATTCTTTTCTATTAAATGCACCCGATCTTGCAAAAACTCGAATTTAATGTGGGCATTTCAAATCGCACAAGTAGTTGCCTCGTTATAGTGAAAACATCGGGAAAATAAGAGTTCCCCTTTCTTGACACGCACACGATTTAAAAATCCATTTTAAATTGCCATCGTCGTATCGGTATTAACAATGGTGTATGTAATCTATGGATTATATAACACAAACGCAATACGCCGAAATCGCAATAATTGTAAACTTACCAAATAAGATTAATCTTGAATGTTTTTGGCATAACAAAATAACTCGCAAAAAATAAAGATAACGATAACAAAAAAATTTCGGATCTCAAAAACATAAGGAACTGTAAACATTGCGATCGATTAAAATCCATATTCGTGAATGTTGTCATCATGAACAAACAAACTTTATTATACACATATGTTTGAACTCGTGTTTCTTTTGTTCTGTTGTTTAGGATTAGTGTGGATTGTAACGTGAGTAAGGTTGTTTATCGTATTTGCATACTGATTCATGTCCTTACAAACCATTGATGTTCCGTTTTAATGCAAAATCTTTGATTTTTCATCGGATTCAAACGAATAAGAATTTACTTCCTAAGCAATCTCAACCAGATACACAAGTACACAAACACATTCTTCGATGACGATTAGATTACATGCCTAGTGTTCCTAAAATGCTAAAAAAAGGAGAGTTTCATTAAATGAGATTGTGTACATTTATGGAAATTAAGACTATTATCGCAAATGAAATTACCAAGCAATATTCACCATGTTTCATTAAAGAATTTGGAATAAAAAAAAGGGATGCAGATAACAATTGCATGGAACACAGAACTTTATAAAAATTAATTACGTCTTCACAATTACATGTACTGATGGTCAATAATTTACACAAACACTTTCTTTTCGGTTCTTCGAATTTTTTCCCATATTGAAAATTTTCCATATCTATAGGAATAATGCCTTTTTTTATTGTTGACAATATAAAAAAAATTGGTGCCGCAATTAGGATGGGAAAATATAGACGTAAATAAACAAATTTATTTAGGGCACATGTACACATTGTATAGATTGCTTATTTTATAAAATGCAGATCCTATCAATGAAACTTTTACATAATATGGAAATCGATGTACCCGAGTCAGAAACAGAGATCTTTCAATGAACATCAACCCGATAACGAATTGAAAGATGGCGATGGTGCTTTTTTGTTTGTAGTAAATTAATCTCTTTCGCCGTAGAAACTTCCCATGTTCTCATGGCCCAACTATATAAAATAGGTAGCACAAATGATTATTAAGTTAAAGTTAATAAATTTGCCAAGATTTTATTAGTTCATCACTTGGCCAAATTCTTAAATATAATTTTTGAGACAATATCAAGCAAGTGAGCTTTCTGCATTTTTTACAAGTCTGAGAAAATGAATCGCCGATACTCTTTTAGATGAGTTGCAATCATCGGTTTCTCATATTTTTTGTGTGTGTGACTCTGTAGTAGACACTGAATAGTAAGTACTTTGATGTATCAGTAAATCCTGTATAACGATAAATACACCCATTCTGAAATAATGGTATATACAAAAAGAAGCGTTTATCAATCCGTATATACGTTCGAATTTTCTGAACGCGGGTTTTGTTTGTCATCTGACTTCTTCTTCTTTCCCAATAAATCATCTGAATAAATCTTGGCTTTTCTTGGGGGAGTACAAAGAAAATCACCAGAAAATCCTCCGATAAAATGGGTAAACATACGCACGTGTTCGATATATACGTGTCAATTATTTTCCTTGGCAATGTTGTAATTAGCCGTTTATTCATCGATAAGATTTTAACACTAATTGGGTAATCGATAATATCCGGATTTCCGATACTATCACTTATAAGTGGCGCATACAATCATTATGTGTAGATATTGTCATTGTGTCGTCGTCGGACGTAACGAATATTAGAGAAAAATAGAACACTAGATGTTATTGTTGTTACTCCATAATATATTATTACATGTAAGTGGCGAGTGTACGGAATAAAACATCATAATCACAAGCAAAAGTACCGAAATGGAACGATTACGGTAATAATATTGTTGTTCGTGGCATTTTATTTTTTGATGGTTCATGCTCAAGAACATGTGTGTCTTTATGCGCGATGCGTGTATTATCAATATCAAATTTCTGCATAATTTATGTGCATACGTAAACGTAAAGAATGATAACGGCTGGATGATTATTTTTTCCAAAAAAAAAACTTGCAATATTTTTATTTGCATGGAATACGTCATCTTCTTTGCGAATGCTTCTGTATAACATGTATATTATGCATAAAAAATTATCCATTTTTCTTGTTTGTATGCGCATTCATTTAGATCCGTGAAAAATTAATGCAATTCAATTATTCCACCACCACCACCACGTTGCAATGTGACTCGTACGTTACATTGCTTCATTTACGGGCTCATTTAGTATAATAAAAAAATCTTATGAATGTATTTTCGAATAATAATAATAATAATAATATGTGCATGTAATGAAATGATCATTTGTATCCACTGCAAATAACGATCTAATCGATGATTTATTTACCAGATTAATAATATCTCGTGTACGCGTCAGTGAACATCAATTCAAAATACCGCGCGCGCACTATATATAACCTTCTATACGAGTAGCATAGCATAAGCCATAGTATGTATGAATCGGGCCATTGATTAGCCACACAAAACGACATCAGCATATTTCGCATTTTTTTGCAACGTTATAATAATTATGTTTTTAACCGAGAGAACCCATCATTTATTAACATGATAATCTAACAATTGTCAATTGTCAACTATTTACAAATGAAGAAATAAAATATGAAATATCAAAAAAAAAAATCACAAAAGAAAAAAAGAAACGTAAACCGCGTGTTCAACACATTCTGCTATTCTTACGCGCGTTATATATAAAAAAATATAGAATCGGTTCAAATTACTATCATTGTAAAAAAAGATACTTGGCCGGCTAAATTGAAACAACGAAAATAAAAAATGTGGAGGAAAAGATAATAATAATAATAAATTTCGATTTTTGAGTCCTTAAAAAGCTTAGAATAAAAAATCTTGAATAAAATCTTAGTAATTTTCTTAATGATCGTAATTAATTGGCTAACTGTAAAAACTTTAATTTATCCCATTGTTGGGAGCTTAGATTTTGTGGTTATCGGAGATTCCGCGTCATATTTTTTTTTTGTTGTTAAAAGAGAACTTCGTGATGTATGAATGAAAGAGATCAAGATGTAAAAAGGAAAAAGGAGAACCCTTCTAGAAATGAAAAGTGTAATAGAAAATGATGAGAGAACCGACACAATTAATTAAAGTTTAAGACTGCGGGCGTGGTCCAGCCAACACTCAGATTTCTGCGGAAAATTGTTCGGCCAATAAAATTTTGAGTATGATAATGATGTTAGTGTCCAAATGAAAGAATGTTGAATAGGGAAAGATTTTTTATACAATCTATTGATACTAATATAAAAAATATACAATGGTAAACAGGGGAAGATAAAGTATGTTATGTATATTATGTATATTTTTTTATAGAATTCCGAAATGTCTATAATCATTTCATTCAAAAAATTCGCTCAAGTTCACTTCGGAGTGTTTCCAATGTCGCTGGTTTTGCCAAGAATCCATTCATTCCTACATCCATGAAACGTTGTGACCACTCATTGGTTGTATAAGCGATAATTGGAATACTACGGTTCTGTTCCAAAATCTTTGAGGCAGCGGCTAAAGCAGATGCCGAAACTGTGGACACAGTTGATCCTGTTGACGTTGCACTGCTTTCGGCGCCACACCCAATGCCACACCCCACCACTCCATTTGAAACAACATTTACGCCAGCTTGACGTCTAATCGCAAGTGCAGTTTCCATTCCATTGATTCCTGGCATATCAATATCTAGAAAACAGATATCGAATAATTCTTGCGAAAGTGCTTCTAATGCAGCTTCACCACTTTCTAAACAAGTTACGTGGTGACCAAATTCTTTTTCTAGAATTTTGGATAGGATTTTTCCTGTTATTATGTTGTCATCTATTACTAGAGCATTTACGGTCAGTGAGCTAGGGGAAGGTGAAGTGGTCGTTGGAGATGGGGGCAGTGAAATTTTTGATGAACTTGGGGCTGATGTTGGGTTTGACATTTGCGATGCATATGTGACTGCTGTCATCATATTGTAAAAGTGTATCGTTAAAATTTATTGTTGTTATTATAATTTTCCCGTTGATCAAATTTTTGACAAACTTTGTTTTTTTTATTGGTCTGAGAGAACTTTTTTTTTCACTTTGCAATTGAAAAAACTGAGTTTGCTAAAAGAAATTGATTATTTATTGATTATCGTGTCTTTAAAAAAAAACTGTCGTGAATTCGAATCAGGTAAATAAAGGGTTGGATTTGCTGGTAAATGTCGTTATATAGTTATTATCATCAGCGATGAAAGTGTATTGTCTCTGCACTTTCGTTGCTAACTTCTGTTGGTTAGTAATAATACTATTGATCGTAGAGCAAAAATAATGGCGTTAAAAAGTTTTTTTGTCAATTGGACGTAAATTTTTAATTAAAATTTTTTATAGTCGTAGACGTGTTATTTATATAAAAGTAGATTGATTGATTTTTTTAGTAGTCAATAAAAATAATATTAATATTACTATTATTGTTATTTTTATTACTATATATATATATAATAATGGATGAACGGATAATAATATTTATATAATGAAAAAAGCGTAGAAATAAGAGATAAAATCTTGACGGATGGCGGAATGAGTATGAAAACGACGTCGGGCCATTTTTATAGTTTTTCTTTTTTTATGCTGTCTGTCTGAGCGCAGATGACAAATTAATACAAAATAACATAAATAATAGATAATAATACACCCACACATTTATCTTCTCCTTTGTTTTGAGTCGAACCTTTTTGGGATATAGATAATCGAATATATTATATTTGTGTATATATTTTGATTTTGTATACTATGCATGTACTGGTTTCTAATGTTTATGTAGATTTCTTTTATTATTGGGAAAAATGATATTTTATTATTACTCTGCTCTGCTCTGCTAATACCACTGTTACTGCTGCTACTGCTACTGCTACTGCTACTACTGCTACTGCTACTGCTGCTGCTATATACTATTATTACTATTATCGTTATTATTATACTATACTTATTTATTATATTATTGTTATTATTTGGCCAATAAAATGTGCGTTGTAGTATTAAGGCGATACATGACGTTTACCGTAGCACACACATATAAATATATTTTTTTTAATTTATGTATGCTAAAGTATCAATATGCATTGAATTTTTTGGTTCCCTTCAATAAGTTATATTTAGGGATCTTAACTGGTGCGATTATGGGTCCAACATCATTGTCATTCACTATTAGCGATCGACAGTGTTCTCGAATTATATAATATTCGTTTAGCCGATGAATATTCTGGTTGATTGATTATTTATTCATCATCCTTTTTAGGTATCTACGGAATAATCTTCACTGGGTAATTCATCCACCCACGTAACAATATGGAGCGATATAAGAAAATTTCAAATGACACATGTTACGGCTCCATTTTTAATCATCATGTAGTTATTCTAATATTCTTTTTTCTGTAAATAACCTAAACTTGGTAATGACACAACGACGATTATATTATATACGAACAAAAGCGACGATTATTATGTACGAAACGAAACGAAAATGATGAAAGAAAACAAAAGCGACGATTATTAATTATGTACGAAACGAAACGAAAATGATGATGGAAAACAAAAGTAAATGAAAGCGACGATTATTATGTACGAAACGAAAATGATGAAAGAAAACAAAAGTAAATGTCCCTTTCGGCTAATTATAGCATTTTTTTTTAGAAACTGCTCTCCTTACCGAAAATCATAACTAATAATGAATAAATAAGACGTGAATACGACTAAATACAGTCAGCTACCGCGCGCGCTTGCTATCATTAATTTATAGTTTGTTTTGTGGGTTCGAAAAATAGATAAATCATTGTTGAATCAATAATTAGTAAACGTGGCGAGCTCATGTGTATGATCAAATGCTTGCTATTTTTAAGAAAGCATAATACTTGTAAATACACGTGAATAAATACGTAGATGAATGAAGGTTATCTTCTTTTTTATTGTTGTTCCAAGTAATCAGCAAATCATTGTTTTCCGGGTAAGGGAAATTTCAATAAGTTAAACGAATAAAAAGAGATCTGTATTTGTTTTTTTGAGAAAAAATTCGTGGTTTTTTAGTATTAGTATTCATTTTATGTTCGTAGTTTTCCCGACAAATAAAGAAAATCCGAAATAAACTTTCTATGCGTAAACAATGGATGAAATAACAATGACCTGTTTTAAGCATACTAAGTAAACGTGTTTTGTTATATCGATATGGTGCTTGCAACAATGAGTCATATCATAGTATTATAGAAGAATTTATTCATTTGGCTATTTAGCTCGGTTTCAGTCTCGTCCTTTCAAAACTGGATCGGGAACTATATGTAGTTGCACAAGGAACTCAGATCCCGAGCGCATGTAATAACCAAAATTAGAAGTCAAAAAGATTCCGCTGCGTATTGATAACGATAACCCTAAAATATTTTTCAAGTAAGAATTGGAAAATTTACAACTATTAATTTAGGGTTAAGGGAATCAAATGAATACACGAATAAATGTGTTCCGAATCTTGGTTAGTTCAAAACGAAAACGCATATGCGCACCATTACCTTCTTGTTCTATAGGTTTAAATGAGGACAAGTTTTTTGCTTGCAAGCCCAAAAAAAAGAATCAAGAGGCTAACATCATGGGACTAATAAACATGACTAAAGAATATTATTGTTGTTTTTTTGCCAAGTTCATCTATCTGTGTCACACATATTATCAAAATCAAATGGTAGATTGATTACATACATATTTTTGCAAGTAAATTAATTAACGCACATGATACTATTAAGATTTTCGTGTACAATAAAACGAGACAATAATACTACTCATTTACTCGATTGTTTTGTTCGATTCATTTACTTAAATATCCTTTATGCCTTTAATCCAGTTCCTCTATGCCTTTAATTCATTTACTTTATTATCATTTTCGTCTTTAATCTTCCATTAAGACTCGTTAAAGGGTAACCTTAAATGGTTTCACAAAAGAAACAGAAGAAGAATAATGATGATAAGGAAAGGAGATTCCTATTTCTGGAAGAATAAACTCAATTCCATTTAATTTTACAAATTTGTTAATTTTTTGCATTTGCATTTTCACCCTTTATTCGTTCTGTACATGGCAGATGATAAAACCTTGGAAAGCTTATCTCTCGTTTCATCTTTAGAGTTTCACCTCTAAGCTAAGCTTAATTATCTGAATAATAAACTGATAAATTATTGTTGGTGTGACAGTAATAATTATTGTCAGATTTTGTACATCAATTCCCTAGAGCATATACATACAATAAAACTATTTCAAGTTTTTCCCTCATTGGTTTTCTTACATAATGATTAAAGACATCAAAGCAGCACATTTTAATGAAAATCACATAACATGTCGTGATCGTATCCACTGCAAGAAATTGGTTCGGGTGCATCATATGATACTTTAGCAAAACGGGTGCAATTATCGCGATCATTAATCATTAATACGAAATTACTCTGCATGTATGCATATTAAACAAATCTGTGTACGAACCGTCATGTTATTGAAGTACTATCTCCCAAATTCCCGAACCAAAAAAAATTCCGAGTCCTGTGGCAGTACTTTTTACTAATTTATGCATCATTGTTATTGAAATATTTTGGATCTTCATGGGGAACTCTAAATATAATTCCTAATTTGGGAAAGTCAACCAATATTAAAATTGCATGTGACGTTACGTGAAATATTCATGACCTTTTATTATTTATTTCATGATCAATCATGCGGAATGAAATATCATTGACTCTGGGAAATGAAACGTGGTTATGCAAATAATTTTCTGTTAACGTAGTCAGTCACACATACGAGTCATCCGAATTCCGTCAACGCAAAACAATTTCATCATGATTATCGTCGCCTAATTCCGAAATTATGCTAATATTCTAATAGATTAGGCTCGAAAATTCTCCACTTCGGCCTAAACTATTTTTTTTATGTATTTCTAGCGCCGCCATTGTGGCTAAGTACACGGAATAAATAATCAATAATGATGCTCGTTTTCATAGACCATCGATATGATGATTGAACGAATATTTGAATTATGATTTATTCCTTTCTTTTGGTTGTTATTTATTATAATCTTTCAAGATTGACCATTAAGCGTTACAAAAATTCAAATCCTATTGTTATCAATTAATTTGCCAAGAATATATTATAGTTTTTTTTTTCCAAAACTTTGGACCCGAATCATTTTTCTGTTTGTTACAAAATTAAATCGATTCCTTGAAATTTGTTTTTCAAAACAGGTTTTCAAATATCGATATTAAAAATCCCGATGTGCGTATGTCGAATCAAAAACTTCGACTAAACCCTGCATATTTTCGTCATCAGGTTTTTCCTCTATATACAAAAGAATAATGACATTGTGATGACGCACTTTATGCATCGTTACACATTCATACAAACTGTTTGCCGATCTTAAATTTGTTGGCTAGTGTTAAATCTTTCTTTTCTTGGCAATAATCATTGATACTTGGCATTGATCTCGAGTTACAAGCTAAATTTAATTATTTTGGTAAATTTTTGCTTTACATGATTTTTTCTTGTTATGTTTGTATGTTGTGAGATCGAACTTGGCAAGGAGAGAGTTACGTAACGACACTCGAATAATTCCTTCTGGCATATAAGTAATTTGGCAATCACACATTATGATGTTTCGCCTTTTTTAGATAATAAATATTGACACTGTTATCCGAATCTAATTGATTGTGCTTAAACATAAACAATTACATGTGGCTGTTCGCGAATATTAAAAAAAATCTTGTGGTGAATTCATCGAGTGAGTGCAGAGCCATGTGTATTAATGATGTAATTATTTTGCTTTTGTCGAGTTATAGGCCAATAAAAGTTGATGAATTATTGTAACATGACGCTTAAACATAACAAATTTTTCAGAAGTACTGGTCGATACACACTAGCCACACTATTTTATTGTCGGTGCCG